GCTGCTTAAAACACTCACTTATCAATGCTTCACATTTTCTATTGGTCAAACATCTAAGCAGAGCTTAAAAGGATTATCTTGGCTCAAGATCTGAAATAGTAAAATCACATTGTTGGCCTGGCTGAGTTCCTTTTGTAATTCATGACTTTTTCCAAACTCATGAGATTGTGGTAAGAATTACGGTCTGTAAGTTTTAGTTTCCTGTTTAATTACTATCTTTCAAGAAGGAACTACTCTGCCTTCCAAGAAGTTCTGCAGTTTTTTGATTCTCAAAATTTGATGGCTTTTAACTTCTTCAAGGCCAAATGTTGACTTTCCCTCCCATCATTTGAAACAGTTGACTATTTTAACATTGTAATCAAGGGAGTAATTGGCCTATTATTTGTTCTACATTCTATAGTCTAGAAGCAAGTCAGAGTCCACCTCCACATAGAGGAGGGGGTTGTAAAAGGAACGGCACATTGGAGTCGTTTTAGAGTACACCCTAACACCAAGAGATTCACTGGGGAAGAAATGACAGCAGGATGGACAACATGACTCAGGCATGGTCAAAGGGGCTTCAAGAGAACTTTGAGCAGGAGAGAAGGTTAGAGTATAAAATGATGAACTAGTTTTATGTATTTGAGATTCAGAGCTTCTAGGGCATCTAGGTAAATCTCTGCAGTGAGATTTAGTATCTTCTTGAATTTAAAAGTTGATGGAGGGAAACAGATACACAGGTCAATATGCTTGTGAGAGTGGAGGTGGGTTGGTTTATGTAAAGGGGATGAGACAGTTGGTTGGCAAGGTAAAACCTCATTAATAGAAGAGGTGATGGAAGTACACAGGAGCCCAGTTAGCAGAGGAAGAACAGACAAGTGCCATGTGGTCACAGTCAGGGTGAATGTGATAAGAACTTGAGAATAACAGTAAATCCATTCTTCATTTTGTCCTGAATTAATCTTCAACACATAGTAAATATGTATCTAATGAAAGGTAGTAAGCACACAAACACTGGGCTTTGAATTTTATCTACACTCTTAAAGCCCAACACCTATCTGGACACTAGGAAATTGCTTAATAAATGTTTTCTCCTGTGCATGGTTTGTATATATATATATATATATGTGTGTGCGTGTGTGTATAAATAGTTAAATAATTATATATATATATATAATATATGATATAATATACTATATATAATTTTAGTGTAGTTACTCCCTCCCCAAGTTTTATCAATAATTTATATAGATCATTATATACAGTTAAGACATATAGAGTGATGGTTTGATATACATACATACATTGACTGTCATAGGCAAGGAGCTATGGTCATTATGGTTTACATTATATTCCTAGGAGGCATTAATCTTATAACTGGCAATTTGTGCCTTTTGACCACTTCTTTCAATTTCCATTTCTTCCACCCAAGAAGTGTTTTTAAGAATTGGTAATTAGTTAGGGTTTTAAAATTCTTCTGGCTGGAGTATAGTGGACCAGGTGAGAAAATAATAAGAATAATGAACAGCCATATACCAGAGACATTTTGTGGGGGTGGGGTGGGGAATGGAATCAAAAACAGGGTGGGGGGGAGGAAAGTGCACGGGACTATGGTGATGGCACATGGGTGACTCGGTGATGGAAAACCCACGGGGATTACAATTGAGATGGAAAAAAAAATGTACAAAATGATGTAAAAATAAACGGTTATATTATTAAAAAAATTCTTCTGTTCATTTGAGATATGTTTCTTAAGTTGGAAAACAAAAACAGACAGACTAACTTAATTTTTATTAAGTCTTGACACCTAGTCTTAGCAGTTTGAAACCTGGAAAATTAACTCAGTAGCTACTATTGAGAGTCTACCATGGGTCATGTGCAGCATGGAGGCCCATTGTATCTTTTATTCTTAAAATGATCTAGTAAAGAAGTTATTATCTCAGAAAAGACAGTGAAACTCACAGAAGTAAAATCACATGATCACTGTCTCGCAGATGGTAAAACAAGAGGGGTCTAAACATTCAGCTCCCTGCTTCCAAAACTTGCACCGAGACAGAACTCTTTGATTGTGTGTAAAACATTGAATAGTCTAGGAAAAATTACAATACCGCTGTAATAATTAAAACAGTATGACACTGATACTTGGAAGCTAGATTACAGAATTAGAAAAGCCTGAAGTAGTACACCTCTGGTGTAATACATAGCACACTGATTTTAAACTAATGGGGAGTAGGACTGTGAAGTAAGCAGATATTTATGTTTTTACTTAGTGTTATGTCTGGTCTGGGCACAACTTATGGAAGAGTAAACTGTAAGAATTAAATACAACTATAGAGATATAAGGAAAAAGATTGGAAGGCATAAATGTTTGGTAATTTCATTTCTTAAAGAAATAAAAAAAAATTCTGCATATAAAAGAATCCCACAGGAAAAGTGAAAAATCAGTATTGATGCACTAGGTGAAAATAATTATCTTACAATAGACAAAGGATTGATCTTCTTAGTTTATTGAGACCAAAAGATCAGTAATCATTCCAACAGGAAAAAGAACTGGACCAAGACCATAAAGAGATATTTCATAGAGAAGAAAATGTAAATGGCTTTTAAATATACAACATGTTCTTCAATTTCTTCATAATGAAACAAATGCAAAATTGAAATGCTAGTGAGATATCATTTTTTACTTGTATTTTGACAAAAATTTAAGTTTGATAGTACACCCTTTTGGCAAGACTGTGGGAAAACAGGCCCCAATGGGAGGCTTGTGGTGTCCATCAGTAGGAAAATGTGAACCTCTTTGACCTGTTACTTTACTTATGAGAAATCATTCCATAGATATCCTTGCACATATACAAAATGACAAGTTTTTCATTGTAGCATTCTGTAATTGGGAAAAATAAAGATACCTTTAAGATCCATAAATATGAAACAGTAAATAAATCATGAAATAGCCATTTAATGCAATATTGTACAGTTATGAAAAAATGAGCTGAGGTGCTTTGTTCAGTGAAAAGAGTAGACAATAGTGTTATGATGTGCCACCTTGGGTATAAAAGCAAGACAGTAATATATATCTGTATTTCCTTGTTTTTCACAAAGAAAACTGCAAAGATATATTAGAATCTAATAACTGATGGGTGGAGGTGTTATAAACTAGTCAGATGGGAAAAGACAGAATGGAAATTTTCATTGTATTATTTATTTTGTTCTGTAGTTTTACCTTGAACCATATAACCTCATTAAAATAAGTTATATGCAGAAAGATCAAGCTGAGGCATTTCAGAGAACCTATCACAATTAATTATATATGGCTATACAGTCAGATGAAAGCCTGATGCAATCATCTTCTGTTTACTCATCAGTAATCTTAATCACATATCTGGATATATGTGGGTTATTGATTTGAAAAGTATTTGATTTACTAGCAGACAACTTAATATTTTGTGCTTTAAAGCCATAGACTGGAACCTTAAAGTGTAATATAAAAATGAAATTAATCATATGTAATAGATTAAATATTAAGATGCACATACAATTCTTTTTTAAAACTTTGATTCAGAGTTTTGGGGTACCATTATGTGAAGCCCACTTTTTAGGTTTGATTTTAATGATAGAGCTGGGATGATCAGTATAGTCTGGTTTGCCTAAAACTGAGGCGTCCTCCTTGTGGGACTTTAGTGAGTGCATTGACCAGGTCAGTCTCTGTCAAACTGGGATAGTCAGTCTCCCTAGTCATAGCTTAAAAAATTTGTCTAAAGGTATATAAAAGCAAACTGAAGAAAATATTGCTGACCAAGTTTATTAAATAATAACACTTATTTTTTCAGCATCATCCATCAATTATATGAAGGTTTTTATGTAATTCATCTGCTGAATTTTCATTTTCTCTGATGACAGTCAGTTTTTCTTGGAAACTAATCAAAACTATTACATATTTATTCTTCCAAAAGTGAATTCAGAGCCCGCTGAATCCCTTCATTTGGAAGACTTTAAAAGTGAGAAACAGTTTCTCATATTTCATCTGTCCTAGTATTATGAGGTTTTTTTTTTAGGATTTATTATTTATTTATGCATATAGAACTGGGGTACAGTCCAAAGGTGCAGGGGTGGTGAGAGGATTCACCCGAGACAATGGGGAGCAGAACAAGCAGAGTGACTGAAATACACTGCTGAGGGGAGCAGCGAGCGGGTCAGGAGAGGTCTGCTGTGCCATGTGGTCTGCCGTGCCAGGGTGGGGAACCAACTCATGCTGAAGTGGCTTCCGCTGTGTTTTAACCAGCTGCGCTACCATGGAGGGCCCTTATGAGTTTTTATAGGGGAGATCCGTTGTTTGTAGCCACAAAGTTATTTACATAAGACACATATCTGGTTGCCTATTAACAAATGGCCTTTTTTGCTGTGAAAATATTTCACAAATGAAGTTATTTTCTAAGTCTGTGTTAAATGAAGTTATTGTCTCGGTCCTTCGGGAGTTGATGAGCGTACCTTAATTTGTTGCATCTGGGAGAGAAGCTCTGCTATCTTCTTGTTTGTTGTGTGTGTTTATTATATGCAGTCTGTGGTTTCTTTACAGGAATCTATGAAGCCCATCTATCAGCTATAAAGGTCAATTTAGTTAAAATTAGATGTTACCTTAATTGAGCCTGATAAGCTATAATAGATCCTAGTATTCTGAAAGCAAAGGCAGGGAAGGGGACTGGACTCAGAGGGAGCTTGCCTCTTCCTCTCCTCTCTCAGGCCCACCGATTCCTTAGAGAGATACTCTTGTTAGCTTCAATATTAACTGTTGTTGAATAGTACTGTCTCTTGTATTTTAACCAACAAAAAATTAAGACAGCAATAAAGGATTCCAAATGGACCATGCTGGTGTCCTTGCTGGGGTTTGCACACCCACCCAGGGGGCTGGCTACTGGAGTATTGTCTACTTAATCCCTCATTGTTTCCTGCAGTCATGACTGTTAATTCTAAGAGTTTTTAACAACTTAAGAAATGTGGTCTAAGTCATCTGTTCTGTGTTTCAGGAGACAGTTGAAGAAGAGAAGAGGTCCAGGGAGTGTGTAATCCCTTTGAGTCATGGTAACTATCACCACCCTTTACAGTTTGACTTTACAACAAACAGCTTTTAAACAAAAGTTTTATTAGATAGCTTCAGTTGTTTTAGGCTATTAGTTGAAATCTACTATATTGATAGATGCTTCATATTCTTCTGTAGACTTTATCAGTGCCATCTAAGATTTTTAAAATATATTATTTTAAGAAAAAGTCTGACATTCTTATTTACTTGCCTTTTAACAAAGCTTTAAATAAAAACACTTCTGATTTGTAAACTTTCTGTGAACAAGAAAATTAGAGATGCTTATTAGTTTATACATAATTTTGATTAAACTTTCCCATTTCTTTAAAATTTCATATTGATTGCATTCTTAGTCTTCTGTTGAAGCTGTGTTTTAGAGTGAGATTGTATATTTATTAGTCTATCTTATATACATGATAAGAGTAACTTTGGATTTTGGTATTGGTTTACATCCTGGAGCCGATCCCCCATAGATACAAAAAGAAGACTATCTTAAATATTTGTTCAGTACATTTTGAAAGTACCTTGACAATATTACAGTCAAGACAAGAATTTTTTTTTTTTTTTTTTTAAGATTTATTTATGCATCCAAAACTGGGGTACAGGCCAGAGATGCGGAGGGTGAGAGGATTCACCAGAGACAGAGCAGGGAGCAGAAAAGGCAGATCGACGAAGTACACTGCTGAGGGGAGCAGCGGGCCGGTCAGGAGAGGTCTGCTGCGCCATGTGGATCACCTCTGGGGCAGGGATTGAACTGCACTGAAGCAGCTGCAGCCAGCTTGCAGTGCTGTGTCCTAACCCCTTGTGCCACCAGGGAGGGCCCGTGTTTTTTTTTTTTTTAAGATTTATTTATGCATCCAAAACTGGGGTACAGGCCAGAGGTGCAGGGGTGGTGAGGATTCACCAGAGAGAGTGGGGAGCAGAACAGGCCAACAGAAGAGGTACACTGTTGAAGGGAGCAGTGGGCCGGTCAGGAGAGGTCTGCTGCGCCATGTGGATCACCTCTGGGGCAGGGATTGAACTGCACTGAAGCAGCTGCAGCCAGCTTGCAGTGCTGTGTCCTAACCCCTTGTGCCACCAGGGAGGGCCCAAGAATTGAGGTTTTTAAAGGCCATTTTATAGTGCTTAGTTTTGGGATACAATATTGAAAGTTTGTGATCTTCCATTTAAAGAAGTTGTTTTCTATTATAGTCAAAGTACACTGCTTTAACTTTTTTTTTTTTCTTCTCTTGCTGTCACCCTAGTCCCATCATGTTCTTTGCTGAAAAAGCAAAATAGATTGCAGTAATTTGATAATTATGTAACTTGATGTTCCGCTCCATTAAAATACTCTTGGGTTATGCAACACTGGAATTTCAGAAATAAATTTGGACTGTACCTGTCCCTAACAGCAGGGTTTTTCTTAAACAATTTTTTTTTTCTTTTCAAAGTGAGGTTGTGATTTATTATGTTGTTGTTTTCCTCCCTGCAGCTATATTTTCATGCTAATGTAAATTGTTTTAGATTGTTTTGTTCTACGTTTTAGAAAAACAAAAGCAGAGCTAGGCTAACATTTTAAAATTATACAGCTACCAAAACTATTATATAAGATTTTTCTTTTTTTACTTGTTTAGCGTTTGTAGTTTCCTTATATACAAGTATATGTTTTAGTTTTAGGAGAAAGTAACATTTGTTGTCGTTGTTCCATTGTCAGACTTATTGTATTGGACTTATTGTCCATCCTGTAAAGTTTTACCTATGGTTTATTCTTCTCCATATCTGGTATTATTGTTATTGCTGTTTCCCCATCTGTGAAACATAACTAAATGTTTAGAAAAAGGATGAGATTTGTCTTGTGTAGATAGATGCAACGCACTTCTAGTTAGAATGCAAATTGAATTATTTTGTGAAGTAATTTAATTTTTTATCACTTTTATTTTCTGTATGTATAATAGAGATTTTCCTTCTATAGTTCCTCAAAATAGCTTAATCTTTTCTGTCAGATGCTTTGAAAACAAAAAAAAAGATTTAGTCATTTACCTTATGTCTTAGAAATAGTAACAAAAGAAAATAGAAAAACTATACACAAACAGAGTTACACATGAGCAGAATATTGTATTGAAAAATAATTCCTTATATTTATTTGAAAGGTATTTGGAACTTTTTTTTTTGAAAATTATTTATTGAATGCAAAAGTTGTGTCATTAATACTAACTCCCTGCATTACAGATGATGAAACTTTGAGAACCACTTGGCTTGTGGTAAATTTAACTAGTTACTGGTAGATCCACAATTTGATTTCATTTGCATCTAAATAGTTCTGAATCCCACACACATTCCCTTTTAACTATGTTTTCATTTAACATTATTCCTTCTTTGTAACCTTAAGACAAAATTAGAAAAAAAACTGGAATGTTGCTTAGAAATGGGATGGAGATAGTAATTGCTTATCATTAAAGCATTCATGGTATCTAATACAACCCTTTGTGTCCTAGGGGATTGGAGGACTAGATTTTTCCTGACATAGTCATGCACTGATGTTCAATATTTTGCGTCTCTTGGAAATTCCCTAGCTCTGTTATTCCTGGTGATTCAACAAAATGTAACAATTGTCTTAAATACATACTGCTAAGGGAAAGCTTGTCTTAGTAAATATTACTTGTTAATAATTATGTATGTTTGAAGTTATAGAATTATTATCATCAATTACTATATAATCCCAGATCTCTACTTTTAAATTTCCCAAAGTAAAAACAAATAATTTCTTTCAATGGAAGTAATGTGACAATTTCCCCTTCTAATTTCCCCCTTCTCTTTTAAACTCATGTTAATATTTGTTTGGTTGAGTGTTGGTGCAGTGAAGTTTTTATACATTTAATAGAGTAAATTATAAAGAACAATGAGGTGTGTATATACCCAAAGAACATCATCATAATAAAAAATTTAGACATAAATAATAAACTAGCAAATATTTGATGTCAGTTACACCCAAACAGAAGATCCATAATAGATAAATAAATCCGGAACAATACTCAGACAAACCAAGATCTTAGTAAAAAACAGTCAAAGCCACAAGCAGGAAATTCATGAAAGAGGAAATAAAAGTGGCAAAAAAGTGAAAGTTAATTATTTTCCATTTCACCAGAATGCAGAGAATTAAGTATTTAAAAATAAGGACCTTTTTATTTTTTCACCTACTAAAGAAACTTTTAAAAATGCTAATTCTTCTTGCTGTGGATTGGAAAGACTGATTTTCTCAGTATACTGCTACTGGGAGAGTAAGGCACCTCTGTTGGGTTGGAAGGAAATATTGATAGTTGTTATCAACATTTCCTTCAACTCAGACTCCTGTTTTTGGTATTTCTCTTATTGACATAAACATGAGCATTCAATTTATCTTTTCATATTTTAACTAATTACAGCTGGATAAAAATTGAAAGTGATATAAATGTATAATGAATTTGAATAGGTAAAAATATACTGATACAGATCTGTATAGACAGTTGTGTGGCCATTGAAAGTGGTTTTGGAGAATTTTAATTTTAAACTATATGGGAGGGAAAACTCATGATGAACTATGAAGGGAAAACAAATCCCCAGGGGATTTGCTTCAGTGGTGTTTGAACAAATTGTCACATTTTAGCCAGAAATACTAGGTTTGGCTGCCCATCTCTGCCTAGGCCAATGAACAGAGACAGGAATTGAATCTGTAAGGTGCACTTTGTTTTCAAAAAGCCAATGGTCTGACAGAATGGCAAGTATGCTACCCACAAAAATCCATTCTGGTATTCCCTCTTGTGGGTTAAACAGAAATTAATCACAAGAGGACAGCCCATCAAAATTGCCCGTCAATGATTGTTGCATCTGATGTTTGTTAAGTGTAGCCTCCAGAGTCTGGTATCACCTCCTTGGTTATCTTGATCCTGGCTTGCTGGTTAATTTCTGGTGGCATCAGTATCTGGCAATTGGGCAGCACTCAGGCAGAGTTCTGAGTTCAAAATGAATTTTAATCACATAGTGTTTACTTGTATACTGAGAACTGGGTCTTCCCCTCCACTCTAGTCCCCTACCAACATTATCTATAAATAGACATTAACATTTGTTATCTCTGAGTCATGGGATACAAAGTATATCTTCCAAAGATATATTTTACAGTTAATATTTGGTCATGTTGATTCACATAATAATTTATCAATAAATATATGCACAAATCGAGAATTCTTGAACACTTAAAATTTCATGAAAGGAAGGCATCTGGGTACCAAGGAAGTCATACTTATCCCTCTAAATTCTAGGTTGGCAAATAATCAAACATGCATCAGGCAGATTGCTAAAAGAAAAGGCCATATAGATGTATAATAGTAACCTGTATACCTACTGTAAATATGGGAGAGACACAGCATGACTGAGTAACTTACCTACTTACGATGGCTTTAGAGGCTCTCATAAATAGCTTAGCTAAGAAAAAGGAGGTTGGGGGAAGAAAAATGGAAAGTTCATTTAAGGAGTTTCTTAGAAAAACAAAGGAATGAATATTTAAGTTCTGTCTTCGTCATTTAAAAGTGATAAAGGTATTAGTTTTTTTTTTTTTTTCCTAGGAAAGGTGCCAGGTTTTCTGGGACAGCCTTTAGTGAATGTTTACATACAAATGTTATCAAAGCCATATTCCATCCATCCTTTAGAGCCCCTTCCCTGAAATAGACTTTTTGATAAAAGCACATATTTAGGGGTGGCATATTTTTGCTATTCTGAGTAAGAAAACTTTGGAATGTCTGTCCTCAGAGTTTTTATTTTCTTGTCAGTTAACTTTTAATTTTGGAGTAATTATAGATTTAGGGGGAAAAATCAGTCTTATTACATATATAGTCCTATATTTCCTTCAGCCAAATTCTTCTAACATTGATATTTCAGATGATCTTAAGACAGTCTGAGAACTCATGAACAAACATTGATATATCACAATTTACTGAATTACAGATGTTTTCAAATTTCATTCATTTTCCTTCAGATTTCACCACTTTTT